GACGGGGGGGCGCTTTGGGAAGTTCCAAATATATAATAAGGATAGTGGTTGAAGTGTATGTTCAACCATTTAAGATATTAATTTGGCTCCCGTTAAGCTGTGTCACTCTTTATTTTGCATCCGGCTTGGGTCTAAGCCCAAGCTCCACGCTGCTTTAGTCGGTGGGGTACCTTCCTCCTCATATTAGGCCACCGGTATTCAAACATTGTTTGACACCATTTTGCATGTAAGTGCTGAATATAGGGAGTTGGTGTGCATGGGATTGTATCAGACCCTCGTTTGGTAGTCCAACGGGCTTGGAATTTGGCTCCAAATTCATGTGCACTACAGTGCTCTAACCATGTGGCTAGAGTGAGGTTCTACCAAGCCATGCTAGGTATCCAAGTAAGTAGTGCCACTTACACTTGGATTGGGAGTATCAACCATTTAATCTCTCGAAGGAGGTAGAATTAGCTTTTGAACACTTCACCAAGTTATCCCACTTGTCCATCCATGTGTCACTTTAGCCTTGAACTCCTTAGTGGTTATATTGTCACCCACCATGTAGGTATAGCTATCTTTGGTCACACTAACCTTTCCTGGCTAAATTGATTCCATTAAAGTCCTCCCCCCTACTATACTTTTGGAGCTTACCAAACCCCTCAGGGTCTAGGAGACAATCACTTTAGGCTTTCACCCTTAGACTCAGACTCGGAGACGAACTTGGTCTTAGTCCCGGTCTTGGTTCCCAATCCTGGTCCTAGGCTCCATCTCAAAATCAACCTCAAGGTCCATCTCAGACTCAATCTCAAACTCTATCTGGGACTCCATCTCAAACTCCATCTCAGACTCTTTCTCGGACTCTATCTTAGATTCCTTCTTGGACTTAATCCCAACACTTCCATGTGTCATAACACTTGTCATGTATTAGTCCTTCTTGTATCCCTTTCTAGAGACTCATTCATCAATCACTTCATACTCATTTCTTGAGCACTTTTTTTGGAATTCCACTCCCACTCTCAACTTTTTGGGTTGGAGTTTTTGGTCTCAACATGTTATGCTTGTTGGACTTTTGTTTCGACTACTGCCATATAACACACTTTTGGCTCCACTCACATAGTAATCATGGACACGAGATTGATTCAACCAATGAGGGTCCATACAAAGCAAGAAAGAAATTCTTGACCTTATGTCACTTTGAACCTTAGTAATCTGGTGTCCTTGTGTAGTGCACTCTATCTCTCTCCCCTTAAACCAACTGAAAAAAAAGCAATTGCTTAATGAGAGAGCCCTTAGTGTCTATTTTATCCCTATTTATGCCCTAAGATTCTAAAGATCCATAGTGACAGTATATCCAAATTTCATCCCATGATTATATACGCTACACTCCATATATGTTACATTCACCCCCCCTTCAGAAATGTCAATGTCCTCATTGATTATTGACTATTGACTAACAACCCTTACCGAGCCAAAGGGAATCAACACGTCCATTTCTATACTGAATCTACTGATCCTTCTATTGTGTAGACTAGCTATTCCATGTGAAGCAACTAGTTATCCACCCGTACCGCAGTCCTACGGTGGATACTTTTATCCATGGATACTCCACACAAGAGGAAGGACGTACGCATGAATGCCTAATATGTACGATTTCAAATTTAGGGGTAGCAATATACCTTGTTCAAGGGTATATTATATTTTTAAGTAGCCATTAATCAATAGGAATTGAACCCGTGCTATTTGCTCTGATACCACATGTAGCGCACCCTATCTCTCCTCTTAAGCCAACTGGAAAAAGGGCAATTGCTTGATGAAAGAGCCCTTAATGGCTATTTTATCCCCATTTATCTCCCAAAGTTCCAAAGATCCATGGTGACAGTATATCCAAATTTCATCTTATGATCACATGCACTACACTTTGATGCATGGTAATATCATCAAAAGCCTCTTCCTTCTCATCATGGCCATCATCATTAATGCCATACTCTTCATCAAGATTTATATCCCACTCCTCTACCATCCTCAAAAGAATATGCCACTTTGATACCAATGAAACGAGCACCAATTCCCAACCCTTAATGTGTTCCAGCCTTAAATCCCACAAGTCATAGAATATATTTAAAATATTCCTATGGTTTGTGTCATATTTCATTTTGTTAGCTAGTTACACTTAAGACAAAATAAGTTATATATGCTTGCAGATCGAATGGGTTCCTATTTATTTTAATCTACTTAAAGCATCCCCTAACCTAAAGCTATGTTATTTAATATCATTGCAAATAAAATTCCAAGAAAATATATGGTTATACCATTTGTCACACAGAATTAAATAATAGAATCTGCTATAGAAGGTAGCTATAGCAATTTATATTATAATTTGTGAACATGCTAAATAAAGTGTAATAACTTAGTTGAAGCTATATAAGTTTTCAAGAGTGTCTAAGAGAACCTTTGGAATTGCATGATTTCAAGAGAGAAGAAACAAATTTGAAAAATTGTTACTCTTGCAAAGAAAGGAAAGAATGTGGCTAATAATCTAGAGTTATGTCAAGATTGGCTGTAACAATGCATATACACTAAATATATCTGATGTAAACAATGTCATAATTGTTATTACTAAAGCTTGTGTGATTATAAGTGCTCTAGATCTAGCAATAAAGAAAGAATATGCAAAACCAAATCAATGAGAAAGTTCTAGATTTTTATTATAACCTTTTGTGCCTAGAAAGGGATAAGCTCTCTTTCTCATCAACTTTGATAAAGACTTTTTGACTAATATAATAAAAACATGAACATTCTCTTTATATTCACTATTTTTTTTATCTTCTTGTTTATTTTTATAATTTCAATAATTTCTTACATAATATACATCATAAAATAATATATTTAGAAAAATTCAAAATATAATTTATTATTTAAAGTAATGAGCATTAAGGGTTTTAGTCTTAATATTGAAATATAAAACTAATACTAATTACTTTTCTTCATTTTATTTCCACAATCTGGGACTTTGGGACAACATTTTGAAACATTGCAACCCTATACAAGCCTCATGGGTACTCTCCCTACATTATGTGGATAAGGCAAGGTTTCAATAAGCTATGCCAAGTATCCAAGTAGGTAGTGCTAACCACACTTAAACTGGAAATATTGACTATTTGATCTCTTAGGGAAACTAAAGTTGGCTTTTAAACACTTTATCAAGTTACCTTATTTATCTATTTGTATTCATTGTAGCTTTAGACTTCTCAGTGGTTATATCATCACCCACCACATGGGTATAATGTCATGAATGTGACTTCGGGTATCGAAAATTATCTATCAACTGTCTTTTTGAATATTTTTTCTTTACTGCCATGACTAAAGAAGGTCAATATTGTTGGACCCTTTATTAGTCTCCACCTAAGCTAGTTGAAAAACTGGTCATCACATATGCACTTAAACCAGAAGGGCACTAAGGAAGGAAATTCTAAATTGTCATTTGTCAAGCAAACTTGACACAGTGATAAGAAACTTATGATGTTGGCTTGCACTTACTAATGTTGGGAACCCCTATGATATTAAGCTTGGTCCTTCAACATTTGCTAGATGATAACTTACCGTGTCTGCTAAACACCCTCGCTATCATGCCCTTTGTATTAATCTCATTCGGTCCTAAATATTATTTATGGAAAGTGTCTAAATTTGCTTATTTGGCATATCTACTGAATGTAGAGATTGTCTTGGATACAATGGTGTTCATCCTATTTCCAAATTCGCAATCTAATGCCATTCCATATTTAGTAAGTCAAATTTATCCCAGAGACTAACTCTTGATATTAAGGGAGGTTTGGGGTGAAAGCCCAAAGTGTGTGTTCCTCAAGGGGGGGGGGGGGGGGGGGGGGGGCCTTTGGAGGGTCCCAAATTGTAGCGCATGTGATCATGGGATGAGATTTGGATATACTGTCACCGTGGATCCTTGGAACCTTGGGAGATAAATGGGGATAAAATAGCCACTAAAGGCTCTCTCATCAAGCAATTGCCCCTTTTCCAGTTGGCTTAAGGGGAGAGAGATAAAGTGCGCTACACAAATGTATAGTAGGGATAATGGGTATTTCGGGTATAGCTAACCAACCTAAGGCATAGTTTAACTCTTACTTGCATATCTGTCCTTGTTTTGCGTCTAGCTTGGTTCTAAGCCTAAGTTCCACATCATATTATTCCTCACGTCAGGAGGACTCCATTTAACTCCGTTTTGCATGTTAATTCTGGTATTGGGATGCTAGATATTGTAGGATTGCTCCAAGTTACTCTGTGCTCCTGTCCCTTCGCTCTTTGGGTTGTATGATTGGAAGTTGCTCTATGGTTCAATTTCATCATTCTTTGGCTCTATGATTAGGAGTTTAACACCGTTCCTTCGTTCAGCAGCCCAAGGCCTTGAAACTTGGGTTCTACACCACTGTCCTTTGGACATGTGGCATGTGGCATGTAACACATGGCACATAGAAGGTTTAAGTTTTACTCCATGGTTATAATAAATCACCATAGGATAAAAAGTAAAAACCACATGCATTACATATAACCTTTCTAGGTCACACTAACATTTCCTAACTAAACTAGTGCTACTAGAGTCTTCCCCTGTACTAAACCCTCTATAGTTTATAATTGTCAACAACTACATTAATGGTTTTGTAGGAGCCTTTAGTTTTTATAGCAATTTATAATTGCCTAGTATAAGCTCTAGATATTGCACTTAATTTATCATCATCACTTTTGTATCTTCTAAAGGGGAAAATAGTGTAAGGTCTATAACTATATGTATTATATTAATTCTAATATTATAGCATATAAATAAGTAAAGGTCTAAACCTCAATTAAGATACTTATTCCCATTTCTTGAACACTCACAAATAAAGTTATTTTTAATTCCTATAAAATTAATTAACATGTCAACTTTGATCTATAATAAAAGGGAATATATCTTATAGTGGCTTCCACTTTGCTATACTAAGTTTGACTTACTCATTATAGTTATAGTTAGAATTAAAACGGATTAACCAGTTTAGCTTATGATTTTAAGAGTTAACAATACTAGGTTTTGTTAGTTATTTGTTGTCTCTGCTCTTGAACACGCTTGCACCAAAGAAGAGGAACATCCAGATGAATGCTGCCACCACAATTTGCGCCTTGGTGCTCAGATCATTCAGCTTCCCTGCAGAGTAGATAGAATCTAGAGGACGTCACAGAAAAACAGTTGGGACTGGCTCCTCCTACCTCCCAAATTTCCAAAAGACCCCTCATGCGATTCATCCTCGCCATTGTTGCTGCTGTTGCTCCCGCCGCCATCACCAGCCGCAATCCTCATGCTCCCTTCTCGTCCACGAAAAAATCTACCCGGTAGTGGCACCCACAGGCGGCAGGGAGGAAGAATCCGATGGTGCAGCAACAGAGGCGTTGAATCGGTGCCGGGTGTGGCGAACGTGGGACTGATCAATCCCCTCATCCGATGGGAAACAGGAACAAATTACGCATGAGAACTAGTACTGCTGCGGAAGGAGGCGATGCCAAATCGAAGTAGCAAAAAAATATCTACCCACAATCAACATACTAACATACGATCAACGTAGAAAAACCACGAATCAACAGCATGGCAGCACATTCCAAAGCGATAAGAAAAAAATCTCTCCTTGCAAATGGATAAGAAAAGAAAAGCACAATCAGGGCAAGCAACGTCTCCTCTCCCCGCGGCAAAATCGCCATGGCTTCCATCTCCGCGGCCACGAGAGGACTCCGAAACCCATCAGGTACGCACTGGCACTTCACGCAGAGACCCACCGCCATTCTCGCTCCGACGACCAGCATTCTCGCGCGATCCAAAATCCTTGGAACCCAATTACGCTGGCGAGTCGTCCTCCCGCATCACCACCACAACCACGCTATCCGCGCGGCCATCGGCGAGAATCCCACGAACAACCCGGACGACTTCGTGGTGCTGGGCCTGGGCCACTGCTTCATCGAGGACTCGAACGGCAAGCTCCAGGACCACTTCGTGCTCGAGCCCATCGGCGCGGGCGCGCTCGAGTGCATGGAGAACGGCGGCAAGACGTGCTACAAGCACGTCGCCAGCATGCACTTGAGCACCGCGCTGGCGCAGGATCACTCGCAGCTCCCCGAGGAGCTCCGCAGCGGCGCCTTCTGCGAGGACTTCGCCTTCCGGACCAAGTGCGCGGCGCGCTCCTGGATGCGCGACTACCCGCAGGAGAAGATCGTGCGCTACATCCCGCTGGGGACGGTGCGCTCCGACTTCAACTACAACCTCGAGGACAAGCGCGTGCTCAACAAGGTGAACATCGTCACCGACGCCGACAACATCAAGCAGGACATGAGCATCGACGTCTACGGCCGCAAAAAGGACGACGATGCCAACACCGCCACCGACGCCGCCCCGCCCTCCAAAAAGGAGCTCGAGGAGGATCTCATCTCCAGCTTGTACAACGCTTGAATCTCAATCGTCTTGGCCTTCCAAGTTTTCCAAAGTTTTAGATCGATCAAGATGAACAGCCGAAGCCCACCTTGAATTGTCTGCTCTTCCAGCCTCGCCATCTTCCCTCCAGCTTGCGTTCCAACTAGTTTTATCTGCTTAGCAGCACACACTCCATCCAGTTAACAAGCACACACCACGGATTCTTCGAGTTGCATCATATAAACCAAGAACTTGTATACAAAATTGTCAGTGAGAAAAACAACACCCAGGCAGTAGGACCATTCGCTTGCAATCCCTGCCTCTAGCTACTAGTTAATATGTTACTGAATAGCTATGCATCCATCCACACACCTAGATATAATATGTACACAGAAGCTAAGACCTCTCTGGCTAGCACAAGCAATCCACAACCAAATTACAAAGGGAGTAGCGGTAAAGACAGTACCTCCGGCTTGCTTTTAGAGTATTAGTAGAGCTGGCCTGAAGCGGTGTTTTTGCTGCGGCTAGCTTCTTGATGTGTGGGACAGACACAACGCGAGAAGCGAGCTCGCGGTGTTGCCTACTTGGTGAAGGTGATGATCACGATGGCGATGGAACCACCAGCTTGAGGTTGATCTAAAACTCCTCAACTTCCACTGTATCAATGCGTGTCAATTATCAGCGTCAATCTGGTGTGTCACGGCTTACCGCCGGGATTGGCATCCTGTTCTGTAAACTCTTCATTCGTTCGAGCCTGTATGGCATTCAGCTGCTCTTGGTTCATGTGACTCAGCTCCGAGGGAGACATGATTTTGATGCACCGGACGCAGCTCACAAATTCCCTGCGGAAAAAGGAAGTGTCTGAATGAGCCACCACCTTACATGGAGGACGATTTAATCGAAACTTACTCCCAAGGATCGTCGCCAACGAGTAAAACATCGTTCTCGTTGTCCACGAACACGAGCTGCCAGCCTGATCGGTGCGGGTCTTCAAGCTGTCCCTCAAGTCCAAACATTCGAGCCAGCTCACTTCTCAGCCCATCGTAACAGTTCAGACGTGTTAAGTCCAGAGACCTTCCGACAGAGCCTGTCTTATACACCTGTTCACAACGAGACCAGTAAGATTTGTAAGCTCTGGAAAAAAAATCACAACAAAACTGGCACATTACCTTGGTGAATGTTCTCGGCAACATGGGCTGCGCGCTAGAACTTCTCTGTAAGTACGCAGGTTCTTCCAAGGTGCCGTTGTCTGAGCTCAAGTGGAGATCAGAAGAAGTCGAACCGAGGACTCGTTGCTGACCATCCTTCGATTTCGGCCCCTGGCTCGAAGGAGTAATGCATTCGGGCTCTATGCTGACCCCAAAGAGGAGATGACTCCTGGAATCTAGAGGCAACGTATCTTGCTCCTGCTGCTGCTGAGCATCCTTGAAAGTTAAACCGGCCGTTACACCTTGCTCAATGTCATTAATAGAGAACACGGGCCCAGTGGCAGAGTATCCGTCCAAATGTCCGAACTGCAGTGGCTGTTCTGTAGTAAAATCCTTCTCTCCCACGTACCAGCCGTGAGTATCCTTGATTTGGATTTCTTGCTCACCGCCTATGTTTCTTGCGTACTGTTGCTCCAGCATACTGCTCTGGTAAGATCTTCCGTAGGAGCTCAAGGCAATATCACTGGAGTCCCCACGCTGCTTCAGGGATTGAGGCCCACTTGAGAGATGCAATGCAGACTCGGACGATTGTTGCGAGAGTTGAACAACCTGCTGCTGCTGTTGCTGCTGCTGCTGATGCTGATGGCAGTTATACTCGTGAGCTTGTTGCTGTTGGGGTAACGCAGACAGTAGTTGCGTATGCTGCTGCTGCTGGCCTTTCATGTGAATCTGCTGCTGCATGGGCAAACCTTTCGGCGTTTGCGAATGCGTTGCGTCTTGAACCCGGCTGCAGTCATCGGGACGAAAAAAGTCCGACCTCGCTCCTGACGCGGCAGAATCCGGCCGTTGATGGAGCTGCATGAGTTGCTCCGAGTACATGTTCCACGACAGGTTCTTTTCCAAACCTTCGCTCTTGATCCATTTTCCTGCGTCCACAGCTTCAACTTCTCCTGAATGTGAAAACAAACATGAGTTAAAAGCCTCGAGTATCACGGGGCTTACTTGCTATTGGATTGGGCCCCAACGCCTGGGACCACGGCCTTTTGGATCGAAAAGTGAAAGACGGAGAACAGACGAGGTATGGTGTTGAAGCCGGTTCTATCTCCCAAAGGGATATGCGTTGCTGCTTTTCGCCAGCGGCAGGCTCGTCCCACTCAACCTGTGAGTACAAGTCAGGAAAGAAAAAAAAAACTTTAAAGACCTTTAATGAGCGCCAATGAGAATTCGGCCATCGCACTGGATCCAGATCACCGGAACCAACAATAGTACCTGTGTGCCTAAAATCATCAAAACAAAAATTTGACACCTTCAAATAGGAAGCCCATTGTTTACCTTCGGATTCCGGACTCCTCAGTCTCGAATTGCATTCGAAACCTCATGCCTGGAGAGACTTGCATGTTGTTATATACTGCATTGTAGTACTTTGACAATGGGATCACAAATTCTGATGGACTAGCTCTGCAAGAAAAATCCGAATCATCTACTGCGAATGCGTAGTCGTCGTCACCTGGGATTGTAGAATATAGTAAATCGACTGCTCGTAGAATTCGCGTGCGCAGCGGCCGCAAGAATACCAATATACATGCTATCAGTTGACAGCAGCGACAGTGGCATGGATGCTTGCTGCCGGTTTGCACGCCTTATTCCAAGAAGAAGTTGCCCCTTCTCGTCCCTGTGGACACTTGTCAGTTTCGCAGGACGAGAAGCAGAATTGCTAACCTTATGAAGAGAACAGCGTCGCCAGTTTGCAGGCGCTTGGCGCTGACAAAAACGCTCCATCCCGTCGTAAGAAGGTGCCGCCGTGGCTGGCCTGCAATGCCGGCACATAGCATTGCTTGCACAGGATCCATGGCTAATGAAGCATACCTCGATAGATGTGTCTGAAGCGCCATTCCGTGTCGTGTAAATCCCTCGCAACAATCTCCTGGGCCGGAGGTTGCTGGGAAAAGTCCTATAGCAGCAAGTTTACAAGTAAGCTCGTGACGACAGTTGAAATGCTACACATACCAGAGGGGGGAACACTTTCTCGGCGGCCCTACGAGGGATAGAAAACCCGCCGTGTGTACTTGTGTCACTTGCTGTCAGCGTTTTACAAAAATACTCCGACGGCTGCCGGTTCTGTCTGCCCAAGTCAGACACCATGAACGAATCCTTCTCTTGCTACAAAACCATGCGAGCGAGAAATAAAAAAATGAGTAACAATGATCCGGAACAGTAAACTCGAGACAACTTACAGCATTCATAGGCTGAAGAGTCATCTGGGCATACACTTCATCCGTCTCGGTATCAGCCTGCGTATGAGAAGAGTGTATAGAGCTCACTCACTCGCTCGCAAAGAACTAGAACTTACATGGAGAGTGATGTTGTGGAGTTGACAAACGAGATGGGGCGGAAGATTGGGATAGCTAGGAATGTCGGCATCGGCCTCCTTCTGGGTCGAGGCAGCCACCTTGAAGAGAAGGAGAACCTTGGAATCAGTCTTAAGCTCTCCAGTGGAGGAAGAATCTCGCTTACCTGTTCGCTGTGGCCTTGGGGGAAGTAGACCACTCGAGTCCCAACAGAGGGCAGAGACACGAGCGGCCCAGCACAGGCATGCCAAAGCTCCGGATTTGGACCTCGTTTCACACCTGGAGTGAAGCATTGCGGCTTAGAGCTCTGATACACTCCTAGCTCCGCTAACATTGAAATCCGGCCGAAATGTCATCCTTACCTTCCATTGCCACTCGCGATGCGCAGCGCCGGGCAGGAGAATCACTTCACCGCGCTTCTCATCCCGCGCATTCTCACTCGGCGCGGCGCCGCGGCCAAACCCCTGCCTCTAGATCACCCCCACACCGGTCCACATTGCCAAAATCCTTCCAAAGCCACCAGATCCGAGACGATCACTCGAAGCAGCCGCTCAAAGAGACCCTAGCAGCGCCCTGGCGGCTCTAAGGAGCCAAGAAATCTGCCACATTGAGGAGCTATGGAGCTACGCCGCCGGCCTATGCGCAATACGAACCTCGTCCAGCCAAATGCAGCGAGACCTAACTAGCGAACACGAAAACGCCACCAATTGTAGCGGTCCGCCAAATTTTGGCTTAGCGGTTCCCCATGGCAGTACGCTGTCTTTGGAGCATGGCCTGGGCATCACCCCTGTGTGTCTGGGCACATATATGTCATTCCACGTACCGGTCTTTGTCCGAGGGATTCTTCTAATGTCCGCCAGTTTACAACCCCACAGCGTTAATAGACCCATCGGTTCATTGCGGCTTGCTGGCGTGGTCGGGCAAACGCCGTCGGATGCGCTGGAATTTGGTCCCTGAGATCCCCCGCGAGAAACGTTGTAATCATTAATGGTCCCACGCACATGGTTCCAGACGTGGACGTGGCGACATAGCAGCCGTGAGATGCCATCGCGTCCCTAGTTTTGGTATCCCCCTCCGTTGGATCCATAAGGGCGGGATTCCGAAAATGGACGGACACGACGGAACGGACCACAGTGTGCCATATGCCCCATCCCACGCCATACCGGAGCCGCCGGTCCGTACCGGTCCATGGATAAGCTTTGAATGAATGAATGCTGGCACACACATACATACCCCTTTCTTTTTCAGAGGAACCATGGCATCCATAAGCTTTCAGGAATCGATTAAAAATTCGGTGTAAAGTATTTAGCTCCAAGGTTGTAGACGACGAATAAACAAAAGATGGCCTAGGGCACGAGTGCCTATGTTAAACACGGCGAAAATGGAAATCAGACGTAAGCATGAGAGGGAGATATCGTCGTTTTTTCTGTATTCTTGTCCACTGAAAAGAAAAAGCTCTGTGGGTGTCTGATTTGACATGACATGGCTTTACTTTAGGTTAGCACAGCAGCGCATGCCCCATTGCCCATCTTATCCCAAGCACCAATCGTATAATACGGCCGCCGGGGACATTTCTTTTTACGTGAATCGATTCCATGATCATTGACAAAATGGATTATTGCCTTCCATAGTGCGATTAATATTTTAAACGCCAAGCACATTAGTGATGTTGTTTGATCACAGATGGAGGTTTTCTCCCACCATAATGGAGCCCGAAAATTCCGCGAAGCCCGGCCGTGACCTATTCTCTTTTGTGGCCACGACGAGTGGAGGAATCCCCTCTCGCGCCCCTTTAAACAAGTAGGCCTTTTAACTTTACTACCAAGTGAATCAAGCGAGATCAGATCCGCGGCTGTGCATTGCATTGCGCCCAAAAAGCGCAACACTTGTCAGCCCTGGGGAAGAATTTTGAAATCTTCAGCACGGAGAATGCGACACCCAAACAAACGAAGATGCCGGGGAATATACTGCTAGCTTGCCCTAACTCCAGGAACAGGGGGGGCATCTTTTTTGGCGTTGTGACAGCTGAAAACAGGCACGCTAGGCTCCAGGCGCCGGCTGCCGACACGTGGCTAGATCCAGGGCCGCGAGCTTGCGCGTTTCTTTGCTCGTCACCTAGTGGGAGCTATTTGCCCCTGTTGCTTGTCGGATGTGTGGGTTTATAGGTGAAATTTTTGTTTGTGGGGCTGCTAGTTTGTCGCATCGATCTAATAATCAATGCATCGACCGATCGATCATTTGCAAAATGGGGGAACCAATCGATCCATTCGAGATTTTTTGACTACTCTACGTTAGGTTGGCTGATCGCTTTCATGTGAGCTATATTCCGGTACGGTGTACTAAAAAACTCAAGGATCTGGAAGAACTTGGGGACATTTTTTCCAGATGGATCGGCTGCTAGTGATTGATCCAAAGGAGCTCGTCTTTGATTTCGAGATTGGGCAGCGATGCAGCAGCTTCGTGATTCTCAAGAATGTCATGTTCACGATGCCGGTGGCGTTCAAGATCACTGCGTCGTCCAATGCCGGGATGGCCAATTCCAAGAAGTACACGATGAAGCCATCGCAGGGGATCATCTCTCCCGCCGGGAGGGCCACCGTCGAGATCATCCTCAACCCCCAGCAATCCCTCCCGGACGAATTCCCAAACTCGCTCGACAAGTTCGTCGTCAAGAGCTTGGTGGTTCCCGGCGGGAATCAACACAACAGCGTCTCCAACGAGTGGTTTGAATCCAAGAAGAACTTCGTCTACGCCGACGCTGGATTGAAAGCCTTCTTCAAAGGATCGGCCATCGTCTCCGCTTTGGTTGCCTCTCCGGATTCGACGATGGAAGACGTGCGAGAAGTCCTGGAACGGGGCGTGGACTTGAACAAACCCGGATCCAGCGGCCCGGATCGATCCCCGCTCCACGTCGCCATAGCTAGCGGACGGCCCGAGATGGTCCAGCTCCTTCTCGAGTTTGGCGCGAATGTTGAGGTCCGGGACAGGTTCGGCAAAACACCGATGCACGAGGCTGCTGCCGCGGGACAGACGCTAGCCATGGAGCTCCTTCTCGCAAACGGAGCAAACACGGAGGCCCGGACGGAATCCGTCGGATGGACAGCACTCCACTTTGCCACGTACGCACATCATTTGGACGCGGTTCGAATCCTCTTGGCGAAGGGCGCGGATGTCAACAGCACCGCCGGGCCGGAGGAGCGTACCGCGCTGCACATTGCTACCGCCGGCGGTGCACAGCGGTGCTTGAAGCAACTGCTCGAGCGTGGTGCCAATCCTAACGCCGTTACCGCCACTGGGCAGACGGCGCTCCACATCGCGGCGGGCCAGGCCGACGTGGCGGCATCTCGGCTGCTGATCCAACATGGCGCCTGGCGGAATGTGCGGGATTTGAATGGACATATTCCGTTTGACGCCGCGGTGGAGGCGGGAGCTGATAAGAGCTTGCTCGATCTGCTCAAGCTCGGCGATGATCTCCGGCGCGCAGCCAGGAGGGGCGATCTCAAATCGGTGAGGGTTTGTCTTAAGCAGGGCGCCGATCCAAACGGGAGGGATGAGAATGGATGGACCGCGCTCCACTGCGCGGCATTCAAGGGGAGTTTGGAAGTGGTGAGGCTCTTGATCGACAGGAATGTCGATGTGAATTGCGAGGATTGCGAGGGATACTCGCCGCTCCACTGCGCGGTGGAGATGGGGCACAGCGAGATCGTCCAGGTTTTGATGAGGAGAGGGGCGGATGTGAATGCCAAGATCAAGAAAGGGTGTTGTGCGGTCAAGATTGGGAGCTTGATGGGCGAGGATGGAATCGTGGGATTGCTGCTGGACGGCGGCGCAAGGGACGCGAGATCGTTGGTTAGTAGCGTCTCCACAATAAATTTGGGGAAAATCCGCGGTAGCGATGATTCGTCTCTCAAAAAGAAGAAGAATGGCGAGAGGTTTCCAAGATCCAGGACATTGAGCTGCGAAGCCTATTGATCCCGGACAACATTCTTTTGTAGATTCCATCAAAATTGAAAAAGGAAAAAAGTAAAGTTTTGATTGGTTAAAGGTCGCATTCTTGTATAGATTCCATCAAATTAAATAAAGGAGAACTGAAGAGTTTTGATTGGCTAAAAGGTTGGCGGAGTTTACCATCAAATTAAAAAAGAAGTTTTGATTGGCCATAGTTCGGCGGCTACCAGGCATATGCTTCTACCATTGGCCGGGGGCGGAGCTCAATTGGTAGAGCATTCGCCTTGCACGCGAAAGGTACGGGGTTCGATACCCCGCGCCTCCATTTTATTATATATCGTTTTTTACTCGGACTGCTTCTTCGATGGCTTTTGGACGATGAAGCTGATGCACTGGACTTGCTTGATGTTGTCAAATCCAAGAACCCTAATGTAGGCATTGGGATACATGGATTTGCACTCCTCGATTTCCCTTAAAACTTGAGCTGGATCACTGCAGCCAAACATTGGGAGCTTCCAAAGAGTCCAGTAGCGACCGTCGTAGTAACCAGGTTCTCGCGAGTTCTCACGGCTAATCGCCCCAACCTTATTAGATCAAGAAACCCGTCAGGAACTCCCGAAGATAAAAGTAAACTTAAGAACATTACGTGATCGAATTCGAGGCAGGGAATCCAGTTCTTGCTCAGCATGTAGTCGATCTCTCTGGCAACGTTGTCGGGTGACAAAGGGGGCAAATACGAGAGCGTTTCGAACCGGGAATTGGAGAGCGGGCAAACAATCTTGCAAGATTTGGGCTCTGGATTTGAGAGGATTAAAAACGATATATAATCTTACCTGCATGCAATTCACGCGGCTGCCACTCGAAACCCTGGATGTCTTTGCGATCAAATTCCGGAAAGCTCTTGTTGCTCCCTTGAGCGGCCATAGGAACGACGATCTTGGCGAAGATCTAGATGTTGATCTGGGATGATCCCACACGCCACCGGGAAATCGCAAGAACACACTCGCAGCGGCTGCCATAAGATCGTCAATCACTCTCGCCGGTGATTAAATATCCGGGGATCGCACGAAAATAATACGCATTGCGAAAGCTGCCTACTTTTGTCACTACCTCGATATTGCATGTGCGAGGTGGCAAAATTTATAGAAAATTAGGGTATAGTATGATTCCTTCTTGTTGACAGTGGGGTTCGAACCCACGCCCTATCGGACCAGAACCTTAATCTGGCGCCTTAGACCACTCGGCCATGTCAACCACGATGATACGTTGAAATCTTTTTGACTCCACACCACATTTGCCACATTTGATGCATTTGAAGCTTCGCAACTTACCTTTATCTTTGTGATCATCCCATCATAGTTTTGATTCGATGAAACTTCAGCGCTAGATAGTTCCTAAAACCTTTTGGCTAGTGGGAATCACCCGGACCCGACTGGGACAACTCTTTGACTTTTAGATTGGCTTCGAAATTCTTGCGAGAGGAGATAGATTTGGTATTCTTCAAAGATGGAACTAACAGCACATTTTCATCATCCAAGACGTGTCTCCAGATCTTTCCATGGGACCACTACCCTTTTAGGGCAGGCATCGAACCGCAAATTCCCGTGCCGTAAACAACCACACAGGGGCGGGTGTACGGCACTTGACAACGTTGGTTTCGTACACGGCGGTACTTGGTAGTCGGTGGCTGTACACGTCAGCTTACTGCCTACACGTTGTCGCACTGGCAGCCGCTGGATTGACACACACGGTGGTTCGCTGCCGTCGATCTTAGGGAAGCTCGTTGAGGGTTTCCGGGCATTTAAAGGGGCAGCAGCGGTCTCCATCGATCGATCGTAGCATCTCGATCCAAACGAGTGGGATGCGTGTAAGCCTGTGAGGGTTGTGGATCGATCGATCAGTGCGGTCGATCATGGATTCTCTGCTCGGCAAGTCGATTCTCGCGGCATTTCCTCGATCGCGATCGCAGGCGCTGGCGGATGCCGCGGCTCGGCCTTGCGCGGCGAAGGTGAGCAATGGCCAGCAGCCGGCATCGACGTCGTCCAGTGCTACGAATTCTGGAACGCTGCCGCTTCCGCCACGGTCTTCACTCCCCGGCCCGTTGAAATTTCTATGGTTTTCCAAGAATCAGGGTGAAATCTCGCCCAGCGATCCATTCTCGGTTGCCGAATCGCTGGAGACCAGCAATGCGAGCGGCGAGCTGCTGGTGGGATCGGACGCTGCCGACGAAAAAGTGATCGATCCAAACGGTAGGTCTTGGGCTCAGAATATTTGGGGATTGCGGGCTTTGATGGGGAGAAGCTCCATCGCGCAAGAAGAATCTGGAAGCGTGATGGTTGAGGACGACACCGCCATTCCACCGCCATCGTTACCGCCAAGGCAAGGTATTCCAGAATCCGAAAGTGGAAATTTAGAGCAAGAGAGAGCAGGGGCTCAATCGTGTCTGGAATGCGAGGTGGATGGCTGCTCGATTGAAAGCTCTTCGATGCTGGAAGTTCCTCACGTCCAAGTCTCTCACACCAGGGAATCCTTCTCCAAATTTTTGCAACCGGTGTCCTTGCGAGAGGCCAGAGTGATCGCTCGAATGTCACACCTTTGCAACCTTGCGTATAGAGTCGGCGACATCGAGGTACGAAGCTCTCGCTAGATTTTCTTTCTTCTCTTTTGTCTTTTCTATCCCCAACTAACTTGTGCCGTGTGCTCTTTCGCATTTTCCAGCCCAGTAATTTACTTCACACCCACGGCTTGGAATTCATGACTTCGTCTTTGGTCAAGAAAGAGGAAGCGCTGGCCAAAGAGCAAGCTTCTTCAGTTTCTTCCAATGAAAGCGAAGAAAGCGATGGAGGGTCCCCTCGTATTGGGCAGAGGTTTTCCATATCTCCAGCCTCGGCGTATTCAGTGGCGTCGGCTGTAGCATCTTACCTTCACTCGCAGACAACGTCGCTCCTTCGCCATAGAAAAAAAGTTAACGAGGCAGCTGGAGATGCACTTAAAGATCAGAGATTTGGAGCTGTGAATGGGGACGGGCAGGAGAAGGAGGCGGCGGATTATGAGTCGTCAGAGATGGCTACTTTAATCGCCTCCTCGCCTGTGACTGCGGTGGTTGCTGCCAAAGAGGGCACAAAGGATGCAGTGGCCAAAGACTTGCAGTCCCTGCACAACTGCCCGTGTGAGTGGTACTGCTGCGACGACAGGAAGACTTCCACGCTACACTTTGTTATTCAGGTAATCCGCTTTTGATTTGTGCTAACAGGAGTTTTAGCTGGCATGTCTTCAATCTCCAGGGATCCGAATCGCTGGCGTCCTGGCAAGCCAATTTGTTATTCGAGCCGACGCACTTCGAGGTCAGCTAACTCCATTTTCTATGTGTGGAGGGTGGTGTTTATTATTCTTTCGTTTGTGGACAGGATAGTAGCCTTGGTGTCTTCGTTCACAGGGGAATTTACGAAGCCGCGAAGGGACTTTATGAGCAGTTGCTGCCTTGCGTCCTCGAGCATCTACGCTTACATGGGGACCAAGCACGGCTTTGCTTTACAGGGCACTCTTTAGGAGGCAGCCTTGCTACGCTCGTGTTCCTAATGCTCCGGATTCGGGGGGTGGTGCAACGAGAAGCGTTGTTGCCTGTCTTGACTTTCGGCTCGCCATGCATCCTGTGTGGCGGCGATTACCTCCTCGACAAGCTGGGCCTACCAAAAGATCACATTCGCTCAGTCATGCTACACCGCGACATTGTTCCCAGGACTTTTGCGTGTAACTATCCCGATCACGTCGCGGAGATTCTCAAGAGATTAAACGGCAACTTTCGGGATCACCCGTGCCTCAACAACCAGGTAAGAAAACTTTTTTCTTCCTCGACATCTTTCTAGTCACACTCAATACTGAACTTTGCGATGACACAGAAATTACTTTACGCGCCAATGGGCCAGTTTATACTCTTGCAACCCAGCGAGGACGTTGCCCCGCCGCATCCACTGTTACCGCCGGGTCTAGGACTTTACGTGATGAGGCATCCGCGGGAAGGGAACTGTAGCAGCAAGGTAGAGTTTAGAGCAGCGCAGCGGGCCTTCCTCAACTCGCCACACCCGCTGGAGATCTTGAGCGACCCGGGTGCTTACGGCTCCGACGGGGCGATCTGCAGGGACCATGATCCACGGAGCTACATGAAGTGTATCACGGGCGCAGTGCGGCAGGAAGCCAAGAGGAGTAGACGATTGAAGCGGCAGCAGCGGCGGGGACTTTGGTGGCCTCTTATCACGGCGGAGTTGTCATCCATGTTTAGAGACGGTGGTGGTGGTGGTGGTGGTGGACAGGATAGAACTTTTTTAGTTCCAGGAACCACAACAGCAGGAAGAGGGGCAGTGGTTCTTTCCGGATCGTCGGCGCCGGGGCCAAGTGTGGTGGCGGCGGAGAGATTCTACGCGGGTGTTGTTCGTGGGATCCACGAGCACAGGAGGCAGGGTCAGGTGGTTCTTCTATTCTTTTTCTCGGTGAAGCTGGCGCTCATGCAAGGCTTTGCTGCGTTCTTCGCTTGGGTGTAGTCGAGGTCGAGGACTCCGTTCCGGCGAGCTCCAGAGGAAGAACGGAGGAAGTGTCATCTTTTTGGATTGGAAGAAATTCCAATCGCGGGGATAGAACTTCTCTTTTAGGAGAAATCCAATCCCTTGGGGATAGAAACTTTGAGGAGGGCATTTTTTGTACAAACATTGGGGTGTAAATATTACTGTCGGCATCGATTTATTCTATTTATCTCGTTACCTGAAATGGCGAAGAACACGGCACGCAAGTGTATAAATGTTGGGGGGAGTGTCCAACCGAGTAGTTGTTGTCGTGCAGCTTTTGGGATACATTTCTTCGGACGTGAGCATCGCAATGCAATGCGGCAAAGGACACGTGGACATTAAAAAAACAATTTTATTTATTTGTTTTTAGAAAAACCACATGACGAAGAAGACAAGGACCATGGACAAATAGATAATGTTCCCGTACAAAATCTCCTCGTGTTTTTCCCATTTGATCTCTCTTTTGGGGATTTTTAGCTTTAAATTCTAGTGGAATGGGATGGCTCTGTCAACCACCAGCAGTTGCAAAGCTGAGAAGAAAACAATGGAAAAAAAAGCTTCTTTTAGTCCATCAGGATCAGCAAAAGAAAAGAGAGTGATCGATCGATCGAGCGATCAATCGCGCAAGTCGTATAGAGCATGAAAGTAGTAGAGAATAGATTGATTCGTAAGTTACTATACAGTCATGTTATAAAAGTGGAAGCAACGCAGGAGCCGAGGGAGAGAGCTATACAAAAAAAAAATCCACTCACTGCCTTTCTTTACTTCATCTTCTCTCGATCCCGGAGCTAAAAAAGAGAGGGAGGAGAAAAACAAAGGAGAAAACAAAGCTGACGAACATGGAGGCACAAGCCGCGAAGAGAGAGAGAGAGAGAGAGAGATAAGAAAGATGGAAATGGAGGGAGACTCGCGAAACAAAGGATATAATACATTACCACCACCGCCGCGCCGCCACCGTCGCCGCATCGATCACCACCACCATCGCCGCCTCCACAAAGTAAAGCTTGTTCTCGTCTCTTCTTCGTTGGCTCCGTGTCTCACTTCCAAGTGCTCTAAAAACTCTGCTGCTTTTGCTCTCGTCACTGTGATGAACTGAGGAAAACTCCTGCTGCTCTGCCGGTTGATGAAACTCTCACTTCTCTTTTCTTTTCTTATGTCTGTCGGTCGAAGAAATCCTCCCCTCTCTGCCGTGCGACCGGGAGGAACTTTTCCCTTTCTTTTCTCCTTGTTTGCTCGTCTTGAATCACGGACTCCTGGAGGCCAAAGTTAGGTGCTCGACGCTTGTCTGCAGCGCAAGCCTCTCCGACACATCCGCCAATGATTTGAGGTTGCACTTGATCACTGTCTCCACGAAGAAACATGTGTCCTCCTTACTGTTCCCTTCGGGAGTGTCCACAACGTACGACTCGATCGCCAATGTCCCGGGCCTACCGTTGATCATCTCGGAGTGGAGCGTGATTATAGACCAGTAATTCTGAAAGAAAAGATCCACTGCTGTGAGATGATGATGAAAGATAGCATTCACGAGCTGTAGAAAAAGGAAAATCCAGCCGACACTGTGCGAGTGAAGCGAGGGAGATAACGAAGCGATAAGAAAAATAGTTTAAGAGAAAAAGAAAACAAGAGGAAACTTCGAGAAACTTTGGATGAGATGGGATAGATGGGAAGACCAATTCGAAAAGAAAAGCGAGAGCGAGAGAAAGAAGAAAAGTGTACCTTGAGTCGATGATCTCCTCCAAGGATCCGGTAACTAAAGATGTGCTCCTCCTCGTCCAGGATCTCCAGCCTCTCGGTGCTGCTCGTGGCTGGAAGCCCCGTTACCACATTCACGTTTCGGATGCTCCCGACTTTGCCATCGCCATTCACAGTGCAGCTCTGGATGAATCTCTTGTAGCCTTGCGGTTGGTCAAATCTCCGGACGAGCGACCACACCTGCGCAAGAACAAAAGAGAGAAAAATCTCAGCTAGAGAGTAAGATCAAGCGCTCTTGGTTGTGAGAAATCGAGAGAGATAGGTGTTTGGGAGGTGACAAGAAGTCGAGAGATCGCAAAGAATGGATGCTTGGATGCTTGGTTGTGAGTAATCGAGAGAGCTACACCCTTTGGAAGAAAGAGGAGTTTGTTAGATCACTAGAATGCAAGAAAGCAAGCAATGTACTACACAGATTTCACGAATCTCGCACCAAATTCCTAGAACAGCACGATCTCCTAGCAAATTCCTAGCGAGGAGAGTGAGTGGGCTTACCAGCTGCACGGGCGCATTGATGCGTTTGATGAGGATGGATCCACACTGATACTCTTGCATCTCGTGCTTGTGGTAGCGCCATATGTGCTCCTCCTCCCTAGACAATGCGTTGCTGCTCATCTCATCGATCGATCGATCCCTTCCCCTGCTAGAGCGGCTAGAGCTCTCACTCGCTCGTTCGATTAGAACCCTAGAAAACCAAAAGGGAAGAAAAAAACGAGAGAGAGAGAGAGAGAGAGAGGGTAAAAAAAAACAGAAGAGCAATTTTCGTGGATAATAAAAACTTTCCAGGTAACACCTGTATCAGATGTTACCGCTCCCACGAAACGACCTATACGGTCCCACGCGCATCAAAGAGTAGAAAGTCGCCTTCCCCAGCCAGGGGGAATATTCCCCACCTCGCGGAAAAGAATAATTTCGTGCTTGGCTTTTCAGGCCCATCAAGAGCTTCACATGCTTCCCTTGTGCACTGCCTTTCACGCTTCTTTCCTTGGAAGCTACCTCCTTTAGAAATAAACTTAACTTCTTCTTCATCCATTTGCTTCTTCCATTTTGGAGATCTCGATCGATTCAATAGCTTCATCGATTCTATGGTCGCTGAGAGCTTGGTCGATTCAAAGATCACGGGGCAAGGAGAAACTCTTCGCATAAGAAACCAAAGTTAAAAGTTTCCAGTCAAAAAACCAAGCTGAAGCGTTCTTTCAAACTTGACACAGTAGCTCGCGAGCGATTGTCTCGGTCAAAACCTCGAGTCTGGGATTAATAAACAAAAGCAAAGCTTTCTCTACACAAGCTGGAGCTTACCTTGCAGCTAAGTATGACTTTGAGGACGATGAAAGACGACGAACGATCCATTCTTCGAGGCTGTCCACGCATGAGATCGCTTGGGGCCAACCAGATCCTTCCGCAGGCCGCTTTCAGCCACCCCCCTCATCTATGTGAATTCGTCAATTCCTTTTTTCCTTTGTGTCGTTATCCCTGGAAGAGTTTGGTAAGTGAAGTATGCGTTCCTTCGAAGGGGGAACAATAAAAGGTATGAAAGGGAAGGAGCTTACCAGCTTTTATTTGTTTCTTTTCTTGCGAACACTTAGACCCTGGAGCTCGCAAACCTCTTCTCGAAAAGCCTGCGCAGTAAATAGACTTGGAGCAGGCTTGCAGAGATCAAGGCCGCGGACTCCACCACGGCTTTATAAACCACTCGCTTGCTCATTGCGTTGTTCACTGCAAGCACCATAAAACCGGAGCCGAGTCCAAACACGAGCCAGTCAGTCAGTCCCCTTGGACGGGAAACAGAGAACAAAAACGAATTTAAGAGCCAAGCGACAATGCACTTACAGACGGATTGACGCTCAGTCTGAGCTTGCAGCCAGTGCTGCTCGAAAGAAACACTGTAGAGAGCCTCCTCAAGTCTCGCGATCTGTCCCATCAGTGGGTCAATGTGGTCTGCAAAGCAACGAGCGTGACCAAAAGTTCATGAAAAAAAAAAAGAGAGAATTTTGTTCTTACCATCCTTTGCATGATCGTCCGGCGGGGGAAAGTGGCCAACGTAAACGTCGAAAGCAATGGTTTCGTGAACTGGAGAGAGGTTGTGGAAGCAAAACTTGTAGAGGCCTTTGCTATGTGCCACAAACTGGCCCTTTTCCTCGGGCTTGTTGCGAACATCATAGGCTTGAATGCCTCCAGGCCCCTCGACCTGGCCAAAGAACACAAAAAAGAACCATAAGACTTTGCTGTGATCCATGAAAAAAAAATCCAAGCACTGCTTCTTCTAAGCTAGAGATTTCCTTCCTGTGCTAGACGATTACCACTAGATCCACGCCGGCTTGCTCGAATGCCCAGGTACTGTCCGATTTGACCACCACGTACGAGACATGGACCAAATCGCCGTCATACTCCACCGGATGAGCGAAGCACTCCTTCCTGTCGATCACGAATCGCAGCGCCTGTGCGGAGGTCGCCGAGAGGAGAAGAATTGAGAGAGCCAGCGGCAGCAGCGGCAGCGCCATCGTGAATCGCGCCATGATCTCTCCTATAAACCCTAAATAGGGTTCTAATGGGCCAAACGCGCTTCTTTTCTTTAGTTTTTTCTCTTCGCCTCGATCCAGGGATCCGGCTCCTGGCCAAATCCGCTGCTCGGATCTTCCCAATTCTCGCGCGAATCACCGTCGGCCCTGCGGCTGCCGTGCTGCGCGATGTATTCCTTCATCCAATCCTGCCTCTTCTTCTCGTGCTCTTCGATGCCGAAGATTATGTCGAGCATCGTCCCGGTGGTGCCGTAGATGAGCAGTGGCGCCAGCGATTTGCGTTTCATTCCCACTGGAATCGCGGCAAGCGCCCCCACAACCGAGAAGAGCCACCAGCTGCGAGGTAGTAGCAGAGATTTTCAGCAAATGTGGCTTCAAATCGATCGATCTCTACCTGCGAAATGGAACCTCCTTGTCAAGATCGATCTCCGGAGGGAGCTGATCCAGAAGCTCCTCGATCTCCCTCTGCTTTTGGCGGCTCCTCTCGGTGCCCAACACGCTCCCCATTGCTCCCTAAAACCCTAGCAATCCCCCCAAGGATTTTTGAAAGCTTCTAAGATGAACGGAGGAGATTAATATTTCACGTACACAAGCCAATGTACACGTTCCCTCTCTCGTGTTCTTCTCATGGTACTCGAGCCATACTCGAGCCACCATTGCGAGCGAGGAAACTGTCGATCGATCCATCGAATGGAGCGATCAAGCCGATTGTGGAACCAGCTGCTCGGCGATGGTTTCATCGCTGAATGCTTCGTTTGCTTCCGGCGTGTCTTCCTCGCTGGGCGGAACGAGCTGCCAGAACTTTGGAAGAAATGCGTCCCAGTTTTGGAGAATATGGATTGCTCTGCTGCTCCCAGTCTTGTCCTGCGTAGCGCGACGAAAACAATGAGAAAAACCATTCCAGTACCTTGTAAAACAAGAGTAAAGAGTGTTCTCTCTTCTTACCACATGAGCTTGGATCAGTCGACGAAGCTGGACTTGTCCCGCGGGAGCGGTCACTCTTTGCATCCTTACAATCTCTTTGTTCACCTGTTAAGTTTGAAAGAGAACTTAGAACGGCGAATCCAGAAAGTTCTTCACTCGTGTACCTTTGGGGTGAGCGTGTCATCTTCGTCCAGGAAATATGCCAAGCCACCGGTCATACCAGCACCGACGTTTCGGCCAACTCTGCCCGACGAAACGTTAAAACACGAAAGAGAAAAGAAAAGTTTGTTTTTCTTACTTTCCGAGAGAGACTACGCAGCCTCCAGTCATGTACTCGCAGCAGTGATCCCCGGCACCTTCCACAACAGCCTCCGCGCGGCTGTTTCGAACCGCAAATCGTTCGCCAGCCTTCCCGCGTGCATAGAACTGGCCTCCAGTAGCTCCATAGAGGCATGTATTGCCAATGATTGTGGAGTCCTCAGGCACGAAGCCGGTCTTCTCGGGTGGAGTAATAACTAGCTCCCCGCCAGCCATTCCCTGAAACAAAACATTTTCTTTCTTCTTTTGAATGATAGAAGAGAAAAGTCAGTAAGTCACCTTGCCAACGTAGTCATTAGATTCTCCAATAAGCCGGATGTTCATCCCCGGAGTCAAGAAACACCCAAAGGATTGGCCTGCGCTGCCAATAAATCTACGCAGAAAACGCATGTGTGAGAGATAATTCGAAAGCACGCATACATGCGCACTTACGTTATGTTCAACTGTCCAGCGAAACCAGTGTCGCCGTAAGCTTTGGCGATGGAGCCTGCAATTCGTCCACAGACTGCACGATCGACATTATAGATCTTGAATGTCTTGGATATCGTCTTCTCGTCAGCGATTGCCTCCGAGATCTGAAGCATGCAAGCGTTATATACAGTGTAAAGATGATAACAAATGATGATAACAGATACTACCTCAGGATCAGCCAACACCACATCGTCAAGTACAGGTCCGTTGGTATGAACATTTTGACGCCTTATTTGGGTGCTTGAAAGCTTTGGCAACCCAGCGTTCTGTAATGCACGAACTTACAGCGAGCGAAAGGGTACAAAATAGAAAGAATACCGATAGCAAGTAACTCAAGTCGAGTAGTCGCGTTTTTACGAGGGGAACATGTCTTGGTTGCAAAAGCTCCGTTCTTCCAATGACGTCGTCGAGCTTTTCATAGCCAAGATGAGCAAGCAGGCCCCGCACCTATTTATAAAAAATGATGAGAGTATGGACCAAATACAATCCATTACCAAAGAAAACTCCTACCTCTTCAGCAACGTACAAGAAGAAATTACAAAGATCATTTGGTACTCCGGGAAATCGAGCACGCAACTCTTCCCTCTACGCATTGTTTAGAAAAGCTTCATCAAAAGAAAATAATCACGTCCTGAAGAAAGTTACCTGACTAGCAACACCAACTGGGCAATTGTTGGTATGACAGATACGAGCCATGATGCATCCCGTTGCTATCATCGCTACCGATCCAAATCCATATTCATCAGCTCCCATAGCAGCAGCCATCAAAACATCCATGCCGCTTTTAAATCCACCATCGACACGAAGAACAACTCGTTCCCGAAGCCCATTCAACAAGAGAGCCTGACGGAGAAAGAACAAGAAATAAAGAGCTTAAATTCAAGAAAGTTTGAAAAGTTTGTTCGAACTGCACCTGTTGTGTCTCTGTCAACCCGAGTTCCCAAGGGCCCCCGGCATGCTTTATTGAGCTGATTGGACTGGCCCCAGTTCCACCGTCGTGTCCAGATATCTAAAGACAAAACGTAAGTTGGCAACAAAGGTTGAAACAAATTGAAACGCACCTGTATAATGTCTGCATTAGCCTTGGCAACACCGCTTGCTACAGTGCCAATACCCGCCTCTGCAACAAGCTTCACAGATACTTTGGCACGGGGATTCACCTGTCAACACAATGCATGAGAAGCGGAACGACAAATGTCGAACACGTACCTGATGAAGGTCAAAAATTAGCTGTGCTAGATCCTCGATTGAGTAGATATCGTGATGGGGAGGAGGAGAAATAAGTGGCACACCAGGTTTGGAGTTTCGCAGGACAGCAATGTAAGTACTAACTTTCTTTCCAGGCAATTGGCCACCTTCCCCGGGCTTAGCACCTTGTGCAATCTTAATTTCGAGCTGGTCCGCATTCGCCAAAAACGTTGGCGTGACACCAAAGCGTCCAGACGCAACCTTAACACCCGAATACCAGTTTAAATGAGATCTCTGAAAACGACTGCGCACCTGTTTGATCACACTTGTCGCGGTATCCCCATTTTGCAATCCTCTAAGATGTGGTAATGTCGGCGAATAACCATCCACTACGTCCGTCAAATGCCTCCAGCGTACAGGATCCTGAAACGACAATTGGTATTCCACCATAAAAGAACGAAAATATACCTCGCCTCCTTCGCCCGAATTTGATTTGCCACCTAGCCTGTTCATTGCAATTGCAATCACCTCGTGTGTTTCCCTCGAAATAGCTCCTAGGGACATGCCTCCAGTACAGAAGCGTTCCACGATACTGGTGGCAGGTTCCACTCTTGACAGTGCAATGGGTTCTCTGTCGCTTTTTAAAGTAAGGAGATCCCGAAGAACCTGTAAATCAAGTTGGGACGCTCAAGAAAATGATTCTGAACAGAAACACCAGACTACTCACATTTACAGGGCGGTCACTCAGGTGGTTTTGATATACAGCATACGCGCTCTCATTCTTCTCACGGACTGCTTTGTGAAGAAGCTTCGACATCTCTGGGTTATTTCCGTGATATTCGGCTGGAACAAAAGAATGTTAGAACAAACAATAATTTCATATTCAAACATTACCCCCATTTCTAAACTGAATAAATCCATAGTTTTCGAGTTTTTTGGCTCCTTCGTCCGACAAGCCTTTGGCCCAAAATGATACAGATTCACGAGCGAGCTAAATTGCGTAAAGCATCCTTTTAGTTAAGTAGGGAAAAATAAAGCAAACAACGAGCCAATCAAATACCTCATCTAAAGTCACTCCTCCTATACGTGAGACGCTTCCCCTAAACGCGGTATCTACAACTTCTTTTCCAAGGCCATAAATTTCAAAAATTTGTGCTCCACAGTAGCTGCAAGAACGATTAAGCGTTAATACGAAAATATCTTGTGGAAGTCTTAACGAACAAACCTTGATAGAAGAGAAATTCCCATCTTCGAAAGAATTTTTAACAGGCCAGCTCTAACCGCCTGGTACTACAATGTTAGTATACATGTGTTAACAAGACAAAGATCTTCACCTTGCGAAAATTCTGCTGCGCCTGTTCTATTGTCACGGTGGGTATTTTACCATTTTTCATCAGCCCAACAGTTCTGTTGCTCAGACGCCATTGCCTACACGTTTCTAAGGCCAAATAAGGACAAATTGCACTGCAACAGGTTTAACAAGTTTAGAGTGATAAAAGAAGACAAAAGCAGAATGCGCAACATTACCTGGCACCATAGCCAACAAGGCATGCAAAATGGTGTGTACTGAAACATTGAGCAGTATCAGCAATAAGAGATGCTGAAGTGCGAAGTCCGTTCTGAATAAGGTGGTGGTGTACTGCTCCTACCGCAAGCAGCATCGGTATGGCAGGCTTAGTGGCTACCTGCACTTCAAACGAGCGTTTAATACCTAACACTTTAGCCACTATGGAGACAAGCATACCAGGTCATTTGCTCTGTCGCTCAAAATCAAAAGCTGTGATCCTCCACGTACAGCCTCATCAGCAACTTCACACAGCTTGTCCAGTGCAGAAGAAAGTGATCCTTCGAGTCCATTACTAATGTCAAAGAACGTTGGAATTGTCGAAGCCTTCAAAACTGGATCCGTCTTCAAAGTTTCGAGCTCTCCTTCGTTCAATACCGGGCTCAGTAACTTCAGCTGCACATGCAAGACAATAGCCGGATGATTAAACTGCAACTATAACCCGCACCTGAGCAGCATTCTCAGCTTTTGGTTCCAGAATGTTTTCTCGCTTCCCAATATTGACGTCAAGAGACATCACAAGTCCCTCCCGTAAAGGATCAATAGCAGGATTTGTTACCTGCCAAAAATTAATCTTTATGTCCATCCAAAGCCAATAGCTCTAGTTACCTGAGCGAATCTTTGCTTGAAATAGTCATACAGCATATGACCTCTCTGAGACAGAACAGCCAGAGGGATATCGTCCCCCATACAAAACGTCGGCTCTTTGCCTTGCGATGCCATGTTTTCTATAACCATTTGGACATCCTCAGATGAATACCCAAATGCCCTGAAATTTAAAGACATGAGCACATGTAAACCAGCATAAAACAATAAACGGCTTACTGTTGTCTCTGAAGGAGCTTATCAGTGTCCATAAACG